ATCCAGTTTTGCCAGCACAATTTGTTGAAGATGCTCTCTTTTTTCCATTGTATACTTTTAGCTCCTTTATCAAAAATCAGGTGCTCATAGGTTTGTGGATTAAAGTCAGGGTCTTCTATACGGTTCCATTGGTCGACTTCTCTGTTTTTATGCCAATATTCTGAACATATTCTAAGCAGAATGCTTGTCACTTCTTGATTATGCAGAAGAATGTGGCAAAGGCAAACATTGGGCTAGTGAATGTAGATCAACAAGAGACATTCAAGACCATGTTTACCTTTATCAAACTCCTTGAGGAATTGCTCTCAGGCCCCTATGCTAAATCCAGTTCAATAACTTCCTGCCTTCATTGAGGAAACTCCTTCCCAGAGCAATTAAAGAACCTAATGCCTATTGTTTTTTTTTTTTGTGTGTGTGTTTTGTTTTTTTTTTCCCCTAATGTCTATTGTAAGAAACCATTCTAGTCTAGATAATAGAGCAGCAATAGAAGAGAGAACAAAAAATTCAGGAGAGAGCATAAAGTATTTTGGCAAACTTCTATAAATGAAGAAAACTAAAATAAAAACATACGAATAAATGATGATGTTCTTGGGTTTGGTAGACACAGCTGCAGATGCAACATTAATTGTATCAGAACCTTAGCATCCAAATTGGCTTCTTCAGGAGGTAAATGTTCAACTTTTAGGCTATGGAACTTTATCTCAGGTAAAAGAGAGCACAAGATAGGTCAAATGTATAGGGCTGAAAGGAAAGAAAAAAAATTAAAACCATATGTAGCTAACATAGCAATGAATTTGTGGGGATGTGATTTGGTACAGCCATGGAATATTCAGACTAACATTCCCTGAGTCTTAGAAACAATCCATAAATTAATATATGTTTCTGGGAAAATATTACAAGATATTATAAAGAACTGTCACCAAGCATTAGGTTGTACAAGAACAGAACAGGGCACAGTAGCTGTTGATCTTTCAAAATCACCAACAGCCTTACCTTTAAAATTCTTGACAGACAAACCTGTATGAATTGTGCAATGACCTTTAATAACAG